TTGGACTTCTTCAGCTCAGAGAAGGACACAGTATTGGTGCCATAAGTCACACTGGCAAAGTTTTAGTAAATTATTTCTCCTCCATTCAATAATCTTTTTTTTTTTTTTGAGACGGAGTCTCACTCTGTTGCTCAGGCTGGAGTGCAGTGGCGTGATCTCGGCTCACTGCAACCTCTGCCTCCCAGGCTCAAGCGATTCTCCTGCCTTAGCCTCCCTAGTAGCTGGGATTACAGGCATGGGCCACTACGCCTGGCTAATTTTTGTATTTTTAATAGAGACGGATTTTCGCCATGTTGGCCAGGCTGGTTTCGAACTCCTGACCTCACAAGATCCACCCGACTCGGCCTCCAAAGTTCTGGGATTACAGGCGTGAGCCACCGGGCCGGTCCAATAATGTCTTTTAAACCTTGTTTGCCCTTAGGTCTTGGGTCCACATGTTCCTTTTACTACACAGCTTTTGTTTAGTGATAAGGCTGGTTCAGAGTATATGTAGGGATGACATGGGTAGTGAGGGTGTCAGGAAGTGGGAGAAAGGGCAGTAGAAAGGAAAGATAATGCTTTCTGTCCCTAGCCCCATCATTGGTCTACTGCTGATTGTACAAGTCACTCAGTTGATGTAGCCTTAGTCAAAATCTAACCTAATAAATGGAGACAATTATATTAACTATTATTTTCCTTAAAGAAATAAGTGACTTGTATATGTCTGCATGTGTATACACATGCACACATACATAGGAAGACAAAGACAGAAAGTTATTGATAGATATTTAGATAGGTGGCTAGTAGATTTACTCTCAAATTATGGCTGCATACACACAAAGGGATCAAATGATTCTCTGTGCTATCCACACTAGAGTGTAACAGATTATCAGGGGGGAAAAAAACATGAAAAAAGGAGAAGCAGCAGAGATTGAGTTTTAAGCTTAATCATTAACAGAACAATACAGGTTTCTCTTGCTTTATGTTGCTACAGACTAAATGAAAACTCATTGCTATATTTAAAAAACTCCAACTTTTAAAATCCTTACCTTGTTGAGAAAAAATAAGTCACGTTTGCTCTTGAGGTAGTTGGATAGATTTCCATATTTGCAGTATTCAACAATCACCATCAGAGGCCCTGCAGCCAAAACAGCACATGCTCATGCTCAGCCACACCAAGCCAGTCAGCCATTTGCCAGCCTTCAGCCTGCCTGAGAAACCTCAAATCAACCAGCCTTTGTATTAGTGGGGCCGAGGGATGCGATTTAAGGATGAGAGGCCCATGAATACGGTGACTTTTTCAGTTTAACCTAAGGCGGTGTTTAAAGAACACAATTGAAACAGAAAAAAAAAAAATGGAGGTTGGGGGGCAGTGCAGAAGCATTGGAGAGAAAGGATTAGAAGAAGGAGGACAGAAATACCTTTGAGGAGGGGAGAGGCAGAAGCCAGCCTCTCTGCCTCTTAACCAGACCCTTGCAAGTAGAGGGGCTTCTGGTTACTGTCACACCAGTCCTGGGACTATTAAGCAGCTCCTCCCTCCCTCCCAGGGCAGAGATGGCTACCTGGCCGTCTCTCCCCAGCAGTGTCTGCGCAATTTGCCTTGGGGCTTGCCAGAGTATCTAAAGCAGGAGTCGGCAAACTCTTCTTGTAAAGGTCCAGCTAGTAAACATTTCAGGCTTTGCAGACCAAGGAGCTACTACTCAGTTCTGCCTTTGTAGCCTGGAAACAACCAAACAAGTATAACTGTGCTCCAAGAAAACTGTGAACACAGAAATTTGAATTTCATACAATTTCATGTCATGAAATATTATTTTCATTTTTTATTTTTTTCCCCCAACTATTGAAAAAGGTCAAACCATTGTAAGCTCACAGGCTGACCTTGGTTTGTCAACCCGACCCCGGTCTGAAGGAAGCAAGAGGGTTGGAAAGGAAGTCCAGCTGCACTGTGGCGCCCATGTGGTGCTCTGAAGGCCTCCTCTCTCCTGCTCTGCGTTTCCACTGCGTACTTGGGCTGGGCACGCAACCCACAAAGCAAGGACCACTTCCGGGTCAAAGGGGAGTGACCCTGGCGCTGCTTCACCCGCCGCCGCCCAGGGCATGCCGGGAGCCCAAAAGCCGCTAGTTCTTTTTTGTGTTAGGCAGAAGTTGGGCTGGTCCTGGTGGAGTGGTTTTCTCTTACTATGAGGACACGCTAGAAATCCTGATAGCATCTCATCTTCCCCCTAGGTTCCCGAACGGGAAGTTGCTTCCAGAGTTTTTTATCTCCCCTCTATGGCGGCGGTTGCCGCAGAGCTCGACACCTGCCTGGGGTCCGGCCACTCCCCTCAGAGCGGCTTCCATACTGGCGCCCGGCTGCAGGGAGCTGACGGCCGCGCATGAGGGTAGGCTGTCTCATTATCCCTGGTCAGTTTTACAGATGCAGTTGAGGCGAACAGAATGAGGTTGCCACGACAAAGAACTGGAGAAAATGTTACCGAGGATGACGGAGAAGCAGGCGGAGCCCTGGCCAGGTCCCTCCGGCTCTTTCTGGCCTCCCCGGCCGTTAGCGCCTCTCTAACCACCTCTGCCCCTGGCAGATAGGTCTTCCCCAGCTACCCTTCATCCCTGCTACCTCTTTTGAGAGCTGGAGAAAACATCGGCATGCACAGCTCCTTTGCTCCTTGCTGGCGCAAACAGTGATCACACATCTACTCTCAAGCTCTAACCCTGCCACCCGGAAAGAAAGATCTGCGACAACATGCTGGAGCTGTTAATTATAAAGCACGGCTCTGTCCCTGCTCCCTTGGGTAAGGTCTATCTGCATGGTGGATCTGGAGGGAAGGGCCCCCACATCACCTCCTCCTGGGACCCTACCAGTAGTGATTCATTCATTCCTTTAGGTGAAGCTTCAAGGAATATGCAACCTTCTACCTTTTACCTTGGCTCTGACCACACTTCTTCAAACCCATCCTGAGAGAAAAGTGCCCTCTGCTTGGCCTAGAGCCTGTGGAAGGAGATCTAAAAGGGAGTCCTCTTCAGAATCTTTAAATTAGCTGCACAGGGAAGGGATTTATGGGAGCACCCTTCTGTAGATGCACAAGTTGTTTCTTCTGGAGCTACGAGGGAGGCCATTTTCCCGGAGGCGAGGAAGCACAGTGCCAGGGAGAAGGAGCTTTAAGGCAGAGAACTGTTCTCCCAGCCTGTGCAGGGGGAGATGGAGCCGGCCCTCCCCTTCTCCATTACCTCCTTGCTTGGTGCAGGCTCCCAGCAGGTTAACCACGTTCAGATGGTGGCCAATGTGGGTCAAGATTTTGAGCTCAGTCATCAGAGCTTTGTACTCGCTGGCCGTGGCCCCCTCTGTGTGAGAAGCAAGGAAGAGTCAGGGCGACAGGACAATGGGGCTCCTTCCGCCGGAGGCGGCATTCTTGCCCTCCTTGTTTGTCAATGCTCAGCCGGTTGCTTCACTAACTTCCCCACATTCTGCAGAAAGGCCAAGTCTCCAGACTGTTTTCATTACTCCCACCCTCCTGAGCCAACATCCTTTTGATTACAGTTAGGCCCAGCACAGTAGTGGGGTTAGTCACTGGACATTTCCTCTTGGTGGACCTAGTTCTGTTCAGCAATGCGCTGACTCAGAACTGAGCACCTCGTGAAAGTGCCTTCCAAAGGCTTCCCTCTGTCGGAACCAGGTGCAGCAAGAACCCACCAGGCAGGGAGTACACTTCCACGTCCTTTCTTCTCACCTTCTCCCTTTGGAGAGTCACAGAGAAGGAGCACAAGGGGCCTGCCAGGGCAGAATGGCTACTTTTGTAAACATCTTTGCAATGTGTTATTTTCTCCCTCTAACCCTTTCCTCTCTGGAGTTCACAGGGTTATCTTGGGTTGTGAGGATCCATAGCATCTGACTTCGACTTCAATCTCAGAGATAAGCATTATCAGTCCAAGAATTAGCAGAGTCTAAAGCCTAAATTGAGTTTGTTCTGTTTGTTCTTATTAGTTAATTTGCAAGGCATTTAAACATTTTAAATTATTTTTAGAAATGTAAAAATCAAATAATCTTGCTGTAAAATATTTCAACAATATAAGTTGGAATAAAAAGATACGAAGTAAAATGATCTAGATAAAAAGTGAAAGCCACTCCAACCCACTTGCCTTCTTAGAAGCAGCCACTGTTAATAGTTTGGTGTTCAGACCTTTTTCTATGCATTTATAAATATGTATATTCAATCAGAGGTCCTATATATATATATATGAGATCATATACATATATAGTCTATTTTAAAAAATTTGTTTCCTTTTAATAAATCGGAGACTTTTTCTATTCTTTTTATTTATTTCTATTTTTTATTTTTATTTTTTTTGAGACAGAGTCTCACTCTGTCATCCAGGCTGGAGTGCAGTGGTGCGATTTCAGCTCCCTGCAACCTCCTCCTCCTGGGTTCAAGCGATTCTCATGCCTCAGCCTCCCGAGTAGCTGGGATTACAGGTGTGTGCCACAATGCCTGGCTAATTTTTGTATTTTTAGTAGAGACAGGGTTTCACCATGCTCCTGACTTCAGGTGATTCACCCGCCCTGGCCTCTCAAAGTGCTGGGATTACAGGTGTGAGACACCATGCTCAGCAGGTTAATCACGTTAATGGTGGCCACTGTGGGCCCATTCTTTTTAATTGATTAATGGTGTCCCTGACATTTAGAGTGTCTGTAGTGTTTTTGCTATTACAATTAATACTGTGATAGTCTTTGTGTAATCTGTGTGCACACATGTCAGTGTTTCTGTAGGACAGTGTCCTGGAAGTGGGTTAGAGGTATGTGCATTTAACATTGTGGTAGATACCAACATGGTATTTCATAAGCACAAATCATTTTTAATAATAACCAGATAAACTCCAAAGCCTGCGCATGGGGTTAGGGCTGGTTTACAGTAGACGCTCAATGAATATTTTGGAATAAATAAACACAATTACTCTTCTTATTTCAGACATGAGTGTAAGGCCTAAAAAGATTAATATTTTTGCTCAAGGACACTTTGAAAGAGCTTTTGACTCATGGCCTTTGTTTCACTTTATGCTTTTTTTGTTTTTTTCTTTTTTTTGAGACGGCGTCTCGCTCCGTCACCCAGGCTGGAGTGCAGTGGCATGATCTCGGCTTATTGCAACCTCCAACCCCTGGGTTCAAGTGATTCTCCTGCCTCAGCCTCTCAAGTAGCTGGGACTACAGGCACCCACCACCACGCCCAGCTAATTTCTGTATTTTTTAGTAGAGACGGGATTTTGCCATGGGCTGGTCTTGAATGCCTGACCTCGTGATCCGCCCACCTCGGCCTCCCAAAGTGCTGGGGTTACAGGCATAAACCACCGTGCCGGGCCATGCCTTTTTTATATCTCCCAGAAACACATGGCCAATTAATTTAAGCAAGAAAGCTGAATGAATTTTTTTTTAAGGAATTTTATAGAGTGGGTGATTTGGCAGTCCTTTATAATCAATGCTGATGGCTAAGAAAAAAAAAAAGAAATAGGCATTTATGAAGACACGACACATGCACTCTGTATTACATAGAAGAGATTCTCTGAGCCTTTAAAAAAAAGCTGAGCTACAGTGGCTCACGTCTGTAATCCCAGAACTTTGGGAGGCTGAGACAGGAAGATTGCTTGAGCCCAGGAGTTTGAGACCAGCCTGGGTAGGATGGTGAGACTGTCTCTACAAAAAAGTTTTTTTTTAATTAGCTAGGTGTGATGGTGTGAGCCTGTAGTCCCAGCTACTTGAGAGGCTGAGGTGGGAGGACTGCTTGAGCCTGAGAAGCAGAGACTGCAGTGAACTATGATCATGCTACTGTACTCTAACCTGGGTGACAGAGTAAAACCCTGTCTCTTAGGGGAAAAAAAAAAAATCTCAAGTTAGAATCTTCTTTCAAACTCATTCGTCTCCCTATAACCCTTTCCTCTTTGGAGGAAAAAAACCAGGCTCTGGTTCAGCTTGCTGTATTTATAGGCAGGGCCACAGGAGTTATCTTGGATCCCCAACAGACTAGTGTGGCCATCAGAGCTGCCTCTCCTAGAGGACAATTTGTGGCAGCAAGAAGGGAAATGGGACTAGCTGAGGAAACAGTTGCTTCCAGATTTAGTTTCCACCTATCTCTAGGTTGGATACTGGATTGCCTCCATAAACCAGGCCAGGATCATTTTCAGGGTTTTGGAGCAGTGGGCCAATTCCAGGAGGCCAGACCTCTGCAGCCCCTCTTTTGTGGCAGACTGGTGTGGAGGAAAGAGCACTGCATTCAAAGCTGGAAGACTTTCGCACATGAACCCTGACTTACACTGAGCAGCTGCGTGGCCTTGCAGAGGCTCTTTAACCTTTCTTGGCCATGTTTCCTCATCTGCAAACAGGATAATAATGTCTACCTCACAAAGCTGTTGAAAGGACATAAGAAAAATGGCCGTTTCGTATGGTTCAGCCTAATATGAAAAGCATCTAGTCTGGTGCTTTCTAGTTGATGCCTCTTCTCTTCAGAATCTGGGGTTCTTGAGGGGAGGGTGCTAGCATGCCTCTATTTTGACAGAAATACCTGCCATCGTCTGGGAAGTCTACTCCAAACAAAAGTTCTGACTTGTGGATGCCAAACTCCTTCCCAGACTACTTTCAGAGTAGAACTGGCAGGTTCTTTGCAGAGTTTTATTAGTTTTTTCTTGAGGAGTACAGCCTTTTGAAGTTGAAAATATATTTACATGGGCCTTTTGAAATAATGGAGTTATTGCTAGAAGATTAAGAACTTTGAAGTCTCTCTGCGCAAACAGCCCTTTCTCCTGGAGCCTGTACTAAGTACCTGTGTAGTTGGACTCACAGCTTGCTGGGCTTCAAAATCTCCCAGCAATATCCTGGAGACTTTGGAAAGTTAAAAGCTGTTTTTTGAGTTTTCAGTTCTGTTGAATTGAAGCATCATAAAATTCCATTACAGATGAGGAAATGAAGTAGTTTCTACACTGTAAAGGACCTGTGAGTCTTTGAGACATTTGGTTTACACAATTTTCACTGATTTTCATTTTCAATCTGTCTTTGGTATTGGGCATAAGTCACTGTGTGATTTGGTTCTACCTCCCAGTGCTTCACAGAGTAGTAGTATGTTTCAACACTAGAAAGATAATTCAGTTTTTCAAATTGCTAAAGAGGAAATGTTTTATGGCTGAGGTTGTTAGTATAAAATAGTTTAGAGTTCTGGTCAACTCAGTTGTTCTAGCTTTATAGTTTTACTTTATAGTCAGGTCAAGCCCAAGCAAAGCCATTGGGATTTAGGATGTGCTGCTAAGTTTCCATTACAGCATCACAGTGGATCATGCCAAAATTTGAACCTGCAGTTACAATGGGCTTAAGTCCCTTGTTGTCTACAGTCTGTGATGTGAGAAGAGAAAGACCTTTGAGGTGACAGAGATCATTTTCCTGTGGACTGTGCTGGATTGTTCCATTTACAAGGTTTATTCTGAGCTCGTGCTGGCCTAATGTAAAACTCATGAGCAAAGAGGCCTCTAGCAGTAGAAGAAAATTATGTGGCCGGGGCAGAAAAAGCTTGTGTCTGTTCCCAGGCTATATCTAACTTGTACCAACATTTAGGAAATGCAAAATGGTGATGCGTCAGTTGGAAGCCAGACTACAGCATACATACCTTTCAGCATTTTCACAGCCACAGTCCGGCATGTAGGTGATTTCTTAATGCCAAATGCTGATGCTTGAACCACTTTTCCAAAAGCCCCTCTTCCAAGTGATTTGCCTACAATGAAGAGAAGACAGTGGTTTGTTTGCCAAGGCAATAGGGTGAATTTAAGTCTTTTTCAGGAAGGAAATGCCTTTTCCTATGTGTGCATGTGAGGCATGGAATCTCCAGTGAACTGACCCTAAAAGAGACAAAGTAAGGGACTTGTTTCTGGAGCCTCTTCCTTTCAACTCTTAACTCTGTTCCTGAGGCCCCACATCCTTCAGAGATAGAGTAAGTCCCTAGAAGGCATTCAGTGAAGGGAGATGTCCAGTTTCCTTTCCACAAGGTCCTCACATAGGAGAGATGGGACCAAGTCCGTTCCATTGTTTAATAACATTATGACCAAGAAGACTTCCCTGTGTGGAACCTAAGCTCTTTTTCTTGCCATTTGCAGTCATTTTCTCTCATCTGTTTTCAGCAAAAAGGGAGAAATAGAAAATGGTGGTTACTACTGTGGATTATAATAAAGCTCATAACTTTCAAATAATCACTAAGTCATTTCTCTGACTTCCCTACCAGGCAAAATATTCCCAGTCTTTCTAATGTGTCTTATATGAATATTACGAAGCCTCATGGTTCAGCACAAGAGCCTGGTCAACTGCTGGTAGAGATTGGTTTCAACCCCGGAGAGGTAGTTGCTAAATGCAATAACCAAGCAAGGTTTCTTCCATGGTCTCCATAATGCTATGCTCTAATGACTGTTAATATGTTTCCTTCCCTGTCCTAGAATGAGCCCCCCTGAGTAAAGCGGGGCAAGGACCATGTCTGAATCTTCCTTGAACCTAACTTGGTGCCTGGTGCTATCTGTTATTACCGTATATTGCTGCCCAATGGAGAGTAGTGTTCAGGAATTTGTGGGATGCACAAAGCGAGTCTCCTAGTCATGGGTAACTAGAGGGGCCCGTGGGATAGAGACCCTGAGATTGATGCCCTTTGGGGAGGGCACTCCCTGGAGTACCCTAAGCTACCTTTTATATCAGGGAACTTCCTTTTGCACATCAGGAAACAGCTCAGTAGAACCCAGAGAAATGGTACCCCTCTAGCATGATATGCTCAAAGAAGAGTAAGTGAAATAAGTCACTCTTTTTTGGCTCTTCTTGGGGGAAGGGGAAATGACAGAATACCATGGGTTGGTTAAAACTATTATAAATCCTGGCAGTTAGACTGTTAATTTAACACAACCCCTCCTTTCCCAACCAAGTGCTCTTTCTTAGACCTGTCTGATAATGTGCCTTCAGTTAATTAACCTTCTTTCCTTTCTTCCCTCCTCATACTCCCCTCCCTTTCTCCAAAGGACATTTTTGTTTGTTTGTTTGTTTGTTTCTTGTAGTTTGTAATGAAGCTTTGCTTCTTCCTCATCATATTAGAAGCTTTCTACTTTTATGCCCAACTACTGAGTGACAAAAATGTCTTTACCTTGCTCTGCTTAATGTCTTCCACTACCCACCACCCCAGGTGTCCAGTTAGGATGTATGAAAATTTCAGTTATACCAGTGTCATCATTAGGGCCTCTGTGTGGCTGTCTGCAGGAACATGCTCTGCATTCAGAGGGAACACCAGAGAGATGACACGTTTCTCTTTTTGTGAAACATGCTCCTGTGGTGATTACTAAACGACATTCCTCCCAGAGCATGCAACATGGGCAGAGCTACAGCCTCTGCTTCCTTCTTCGTGTAAAATTGTCCAAGAAATAGACCAGGATGGGGACCCTTGAGTTGAAATAAAAGAGCCTCCAGTGGATCCTGAAGGTGCTACATCTGAAAATCAGGTGTGGGAACAGCGCTGGCAGATGCCTTCTCTATACTGGTAAAAACTGGTGCATTTTGGTTGGAGGTTTATTCCTTGTTTTATTTGGAATAAAAAATCAATGTTTTTCTTCCACAGTGCCTTCTGCCATCTAAAAAGAAAAGTGTCCTGAGCCTGAGAAATATCCGGATCTTTTCTCCTCACACTCCTAAGACTCTTGCATGTTTGGGGTAAGTGGCATCCTTTGCACTTTCCATAGTTTCAGCCCCCACATCCCGTCACAACACACTTTATTTTAACAAGTGTTTGGGACTTTGCTTCTTATCAGTGAGAATAAACTGGCTCTCATTTGGCTTCCTCAGTCTTTTCATTTATTCTCTTGGAAGCCGACTGCTGCCTCATAAAACAGCATGAAGCTGTTATGGGCTCCTTAGTCATCTGATGTGTTGGAATCCTTCTGCAGACCCATGGTTCCAGTTTCAGGGGAGCCCAGTTGCATCAGACTTGACCTCACCTGATCCTTCTTTTCCCTTAAAATTCTCCTCAGTGTTTCCTGGAATGCCACTAACTAGCTCGGAAGTGTGCTAGGTCATTCCCATACAATGCAAGGATATTGGAATCTCCTCCAAGAATGTTTTGGCCTGGCCAGGGGCCCTGGACACTGGGGAGAGTGCATGGCAGCATGGGCTGGGCTGTCTCTGGCATTCAGGGCTGGTCTTACAAGAGGCAGCACCAGCCCAGGCACCATTCGCTTGCCAAACTCCAGACTACCTGTATGGTTAGCTATGTTAGGTAATTCTGATTTTTGATTATTTTCCAATAGAAAGATGCAATGTTGAACATTCTTCTTCTTTTTTTTTTTTTTTTTTTTTGGAAATGGACTCTCACTCTGTCTCCCAGGCCAGAGTGCCGTGGCATGATCTCGGCTCACTGCAACCTCCACCTCCCGGGTTCAAATGATTCTCCTGGCCCAGCCTCCTGAGTAGCTGGGACTGCAGGCACGCATCATCACACCTGACTCATGTTTGTATTTTTAGTAGAGACATGGTTTCACCATGTTGGCCAGGCTGGTCTCAAACTCCTGACCTCAGGTGATCCACCTGCCTTAGCCTCCCAAAGTGCAGGGATTACAAGCGTGAGCCACCAACCGGCCTATTCTAACTTTAATAAATTTATAGGAGCTGAATTCTCTCCTAAGTTCTGTGATAAATTTATAGAAGCTGAATTCCCTCCCATGGGTTAGTGAGGAATCATTTTTTTTTAAAGGTTCCTTTTGTTCTTGGATTTCAGGAATTTTAGTGGTAGCAACACCTTTGACCCAAGCTCCAACTGCATCCATCTATCAGGTACTATAAATTCCAACCTCACTCACTAGGGCTGCTGATAGCAACCAACACAGTAGACACAGCTGAAACCAGATATAACCTTGTGTATTTCTCTACATTTACAATGCCAGTATAACTGCCAGTTAAAACAGCCTTTTCTCTCTATCTGGACATAATCTGGGTTATTTTCAGTTGCTAGACATTACTTCAAATTACTTTGTCATTTATTTGGCTTAAGAAATAAACAAGTCTTGGGCCTCCTTGCTCCCACGGTAATCAATCAGAGGAGTATACCTCCGGGCCTTGCAGCCACACTCTGCATTGAAAGACAAAGTTAGCAGACTTGACACACTTTTTCTCACCCATCAGAGACACTCAAATGGACATTAGCCAAATCCTAGCATGTGGCAACTCTGGAAAGGAAAAGAGCGATAAGAATGATCTTTAACAAGGAGACTGAAAATCATAATCCTGAAATGGGAATATTTAAACCCACAGAGCCCCAGGGGAATTCTGGCAGAGGATTAGCAATCTGTGATGCGATGTGGATCGCAATGATACTAGGAAGGAATGAAGCGATGGGACAGAAAGCTCATGTGTCCTGTACTGGAAGAAGCACGTTTGATTATGACTAATAACTCTGGAAAGCAATGTGGGCTGAGAATGGCTCGTGGTTGTGGGAAAATTATCCCCTATTTCCTGCTGAGGTCACTGAGGGGCTGGGCTAGCTGCCATATAATTAAGACTTGCAGAAGGAACTCATCCAGTGTGCCACCTGCCCTTAACTACTCTAAATGTAGTTGAGTTTTTCTCCCGTCCACAGCCATTGCTGGCTCTCTCCTGTCTCTCCAGCCTTTAACTGATTTCCAAGTTTCCTCCCCAAGCCAAATAGAACACGCTCCTGAGGCCAGTCCTTTCTCAATGTAAGCAGAATCATTTCAAAGCCCAAGAGAAAAACAAAAGCCATTTTCCCCTCTCTGCCCCCTACATCCCTCACCCCAGTATCATTTGCTCGTAAGGAGAGGGGCGATACTGTTGAATTTGGAACAACAGGCTCTCCACACTGAGAGTGACAAGCTCCAAGAATACCGGATCCACAATCTGTTTTCCTGGTTTCAACTACTAATGACTCTGGCATACACAGGAGTGAGTGGAAAACTTTCAGAAGCCACAATCCAAACATTTTGGGTAGGAGTAATTGAGGTTTCAATTGTTTTGGAGCACCAGAGGCTGGAGATTAATGGACTTTGTGACGTCTGAGCTGGAGGAACTGGAAGGTAGGCTGCGGGAAAGCACATTTGCCTGCTGTTTATAGCATCTGTGCTACCTGGAAAACAACAGTCTTTGCTCTTCAAAAGTGAAACTTAAATGACTCCTCTAGGGCTTTCTACTCGGTCTGGACATTCCCAGGAAAATCCAAGTATGTAATTTGTGGATTTGTGCAGAGGGTTTTTTTGATCCATGGCCTTGAAGAGCACCAACTCTTTCACCAAATGTTTGATTTCACTGTTCCTTGCCACCCTCAATTACGTTCTGGATCACATATTTCTAATCCCTCAACAGTTTCATTACGTAAGAGTACGTGTACTTGTAAGCCTCCTGTTGGAACGCCTCTCTCCTCGTCCCCCTTCACTTACCACTTTTGCGCCTATCTCCAGACTGAGCCTTTGAGGGAAGAGATGCACGCACCTTTGCATCTCCAGCACTTAGACCAGTATCTGCTGCTCAGGGAAGGTGCCTAATAACTGTTGAATGAACACACAGGTGCTGCCTGTCACCTTGTACTGTTATCTGAGCATTGCTTTGGACTTATTTACTTTTGTATCCATCTCCCTTGATGGTTTGTGAGCAGCTGGAGGGTAGAATCCCAGGTCTGGTTTACTTTTGCATCTCTCAAAGCACAGTGCTTTTAATGTAATATGTACTCAGTATAGATTTATAAATCTGTTGAACAAATATCTTACCCAGTTTAAGTCTCTCCCGGGCAAACTCCCACTTGCTGGCATCATAAGGGAGCCTCTCACACTGCTCATCCAGGGGAACTTCATCGGGGTCCATTATAATCGATAGGTAGTCAGTCTTTATTTCAGAAGAAGACTGAGAAATAAAGAGATCTCAAAGTCATTAAGAAGAAAACAACTTTACGAATCCTGGATATTCAGTTAACATCCACTGTTTTATTTGGGATCATTTGGTTGAAACTGTGTGGCCAGGTACAGAAAGTACTTCTCCACATTCACATACAGTCATCATACTTAAGTGTGCAATTTCTATTAAACAACTCCTTACTATTCCCACACTACATTTCTGTAATGTGAGCTCTACCATCCTATCTTGGATAACATGCGCTCAAACTCTCCAGTGACCTTATGTGTTGTACTTGATCTTAAACAATTATATGATGGTCTTGCTAAAAAATGCAAAGCATTTTTATAAAGTCATTCCAAACAATGACTAAAAATAACTTTCCATGGCCATCTTGTATAAGCAGGAATATACATTACAGATGGGCCAACAGTCGGGTGCACTGTGGCTTTTCTACATATATAGGAAAGGCAAGAAGTGGCAAAGTAAACCCAGGATCCCTGGGGCACTGAAAGGCACATTTCTTATGAAGTGTTTACAGTTTCAGAAGGCCTGACCTCTTAGTTGCTTCAGCTATCTGGAGAGGTTGTAGCTGAATCCTTAGTGAGATTAGAGTAAGGTTTACCTTCTGTAAGAAATGGAAGTTGAGGCCATATGTGGTGGCCTGTAATCCCAGCACTTTAAGAGGCTGAGGTGGGTGGATCACCTGAGGTTACGAGTTCTAGACCAGCCTGGCCAACATTTTAGTCTCTACTAAAAATGCAAAAATTAGCCGGGTGTGGTGGTGCACGCCTGTAGTCCCAGCTACTTGGGAGGCTGAGGCAGGAGAACTGCTTGAACCCAGGAGGTGGAGGTTGCAGTAAGCCAAGATGGTGCCACTGCACTCCAGCCTGGGTGACAGAGCGAGACTCTGTCTTAAAAAAAAAAAAAAAAAAAAAAAAATTGATTATTTCAAAGGTCAAGGAGTAAATATGGTATAAGACTTACACACAAGCCACATTCTGAGTTCCGTTGTCCATTGGTAGGATGTCAAGTGAGTAAAGCAGACATCTGCCTTGAAGTGCTTTTTTATCTTGGTAATGCAAATCAAGCCCAGAAAATACCCTTTATTTCAGATCATAGATAAGTGGATTTACATTTAATGTTTTAGATTCATATCAATGGGGGTATTTCCTGTTAATGGGCAAATTTCTAGAATTGATGACTGCATTTCTGTGGGCAGACTCTTGGATAGGATGGAAAGGAAGTATGTTTTCCCATATAACTCTTGGCCAGAAGTTATGTAAACTTCATTTAAATGAGTTTTGAGGCCCTTCCTTTTGGTGCTTTTCCCTAAATAGGATCAGAGTTGGAATGGAGAAGACAACCTCTCCATACACACCATTTCACACCCACCCGCATTCTTCAGCCCTTACTCACTCTGTTCTGGGCTGTCACAGCTCACCTCATCCATCACTCGCAATCATTCTCCTTCTCACAAAAATTATCACTAAAATGTGTGACAAATAGCTCAAGGCAGAAAGGTTTGCTTGGCCTCCGTAAAGGATGAGAAGCAAAAAACGATATGGAACACGTTTGTCACGAACTGTGGTTGCCTTTGGTGTTAGACTATGAGGGTCCGGCCTGCCAGACACTCTGTGAAGAGTATGAATTCCTCTACCAGGGTACTGGGTGCCCATTAGAGAAGCTGCTGTAGTAGTAGGTTTTATGACTAAACTTTTCAATGTCCAGTATACCTAAAGCCCTGAGAAACAATCTCCAATCCTCAACAGAGCATAGGATAGCTGAAGCCTCGCAAGGGACATCTTGGGCTCATGCGGAGTGTGTGGGGAGGGTGGCAGTAGTGTTGACAGAGGCAGGGGAATAGGCAGTGGTAGGCAGTCTCCCATGTGGCACCCATGGAATTTTATGGTTTATCTCAATAAGGCAGGTGAGAGGAGACACCAAACAAACCTTAAGTGAGGGCTTTGAGGAGACTGTGATAGTAAAATGTTAGTTGGCAAATATTTATTCTTTCAATTGACATTAACACTGAGCAGCTACTAGGTGCTTGGCATGGAGGCTGCACAGCTAACTGCTTCAAAGCCCAGGCATGGGGGCCGAATACCTGGGTTTGAATCAGGTCAACTTCTGCCCACCCACACACATAACTGTGGGCAAGCGGCCCTCTAACTTTAGTTTTCTTATCTGTAATAATGGTACTTATCTCATAGGGTTGTTGTGAATATCAAATGAAATAATCCATGGAAGGCTATTAAGAGCAGGGCCTGGTATGCAGTAAGCAACAATGAATGTTAGCTATAATTATAATAATAAATGTTAGCTATAATTATGCAAGGTGAGGATAAAAAGATAAAATGCCGTCTTTATCAATGAGGAATTTACATTGTCGTTAGAGGAACCACGTGGAAATATTTTTGGATGTCTTGTTCCTTTTTGCCTCCCCCAATCCCTTTCAAATTTTATAGGCATTCTGTTTTTGAGATAATGATCTCTTGCTCTCATTCTTTCTTATTGACATCAAAATTTCACAGAATTTTAGAAATAGAAGGGACCTCTTCAATCTAGTCCCAACGTACCTTTTCAGTTTTATTTTTGTTATTTTTTATTTTTTTTAGACGGAGTCTCGCTCTTGTTGCCCAGGCTGGAGTGCAGTTGGTATGATCTCGGCTCACTGGAACTTCTGCCTCCTGGGTTCATGTGATTCTCCTGCCTCAGCCTCCCGAGTAGCTGGGATTATAGGCGCCTGCCACCGCACCCAGCTAATTTTTGTATTTTTGGTAAAGACGGGGTTTTACCATGTTGGCCAGGCTGGTCTCGAACTCCTGACTTCAAGTGATCTGCCTGCCTCGGGCTCCCAAAGTTCTGGGATTACAGGCGTGAGCCACCGTGCCCAGCCCCTTTCCAGTTTTATTTCTCCTGTGCTCCTCTATGCTAAGTAACCAGACTACTTCCCCGCTCTGGGGAGTAGGAAGGACTAGGGCGGGCTGTTTTTCTGCTTCTTTCCTTCCAGCTACAGCCTTCAAAGTCTGTCTCAAGCCTCGCTTTCTCGGAAGTTTTTTCTCCCCTTCTCCTCCTTTGAACTCCTATAGCCTTTGTACCTCCCTTGCAGATTTGGCAAGTTTTGCTTCTGTTAGATGTATTTTCCTATATGGTGTATCTCCCCTTTCAAAACTATTGTGTGATCTTTGTTTCCTTCTCAAGCAGTGGACTTAGTTGTCATGTCTCAAAATCAGTCACTCCAAATGGCAAACGCCTGATGTTAAACATTTACCATAGAGGATGGCTGCTGGCTTTGTCTCTCATACCAGCACTATAAAGTATATCTTATTGGTTGTAAATATCAAATCTAAGGTCAAATAGCCTGGGTTCAAAACTAAGGTCCAACCATAGTGACTTTGGATCAGTTAACTTTATCTTGCTGAGCCTCAGTTGCCCTCTCTATAAAATTGGAATAATAATATATTTACCTTTTCATATTTTTGGAATAATTTATTGACATAATACATAAAGAGCTTCCCATAAGACCTGGCATATTAATAAGGGCTAATCTCTAGAAATTGAGGAGGCCTTCTGATCGTGTCCTACTTCCCAAATATCCCTTGACTCTAATCATTTAGTCAGAGGCACCATAATTTCGTTCCTTCTTTTCTCTTTTTTTTTTTTTTTTTGAGACAGAGTCTCACTGTGTCACCTAGGCTGGAATGCAGTGAACTCCTGACCTCAGGTGATGCACCCACCTCGGCCTCCCAAACTGTTGGGATTAGGATTACAGGCGTGAGCCACTGTGCCTGGCCACGACTATACTTTCTTTCTTTTCTTTTCTTTTTTTTTTGAGATGGAGTTTCACTCTTGTTGCCCAGGCAGGAGGGCAATGGGGTGATCTTGGCTCACTGCAACCTCCGTCTCCTGGGTCCAAACCATTCTCCTGCCTCAGCCTCCTAATTAAGTGAGATTACAGGCGCCTGCCACCACGCCAGGCTAA